GATGGATGGATGGATGGATGGATGGATGGATGGATGGATGGATGGAAGGACGGACGGACGGACGGATGAGTCAAAGCCAAGAGCTCAGCGACAAAGAGAAAAGAGAATAGGAAATATACATGACAAAAGAAAATGGATAGACAGATGAAAAAAAAAGTTATTCCCCCCACCCCTCCATACCAAGCAGACATATAAAAAACAATCAAATCAAAACATCGACCATTTGCAAATCTAAAATCATGCCATCATAATGACTGGATAAATAACTCATTATTCAAACATACTTAAATCAAAATTCAGTTGAGAACAAATACCTCAAGAACAGAATTTAGAATAGTTAAATTCTCTTTGTTACATATGGGGAAACTGTCACATTGCCCGGAAATTGGAACATGAAATTAACAATCAGACAATGTAAAAAGTTTCTGTAGTCTTTCAATCTGTCTTTTATGTGACTTACAAGACTCCACAGTGCCGGAGTAAATACCGATAAGTCAGTCAGGAGGAGCCTCTCTCCTGTATCAGCTGTCACTTCAACAGTTGCCGTGGTTACTCGGCTCCATTTTAAGATGGGGGGCTTTTGAGGCAGAGCCGCTGCACAGCAGAGAGGGAGGGTTAGTTATATTCATCCAACTTTTCAAGGCAAGTATTCACAAGATTAACATATTTTGCTTTGTAGCAACATTTAATTCTATGTAATTGACATTCAAACTGGAGGAATGATAAATATTTGTTCGTAAGATGAGCCCCATTTTTCCAGTTTCAGGCCAAAGCTCGTATTCCTCCACCTGAAGATGTGGCGTCATTCACTGAGGGATGCTCGTCTCTTTCCTGATGTGTGTAGGGTGTGCTCATGGATGGGAAGCCAGAGCCACAGTTCTGATGACTTATTGAAGAGAATTTCTCTCGGTCTGGTTTGTGCCCAAATCCCTGTGCGCTCCCTCCCTCCCGTCTGTGACAGGGCAAAGGGTGGCTGTGCTGTGAGCACGTCTCAAGTCCTCTTTAAATTCAAATCCAGCTTCTAACATTTTTTAAGACATGCACGGGGTCCGTGGTGTTTCTGTTCTATTCCAGGGGAAAATTTTGTGCCAGAAAAAAGAGCAAAAAGCATAACAAATGCATTTGTACTTTGGGTTTGCTGTGGTGAATGAGGTTGAGATGGGGGTTAAGAATAGTGACGTAACTAGATCGGAAGAGCGTCGTGTAGGGAAAGAGT